GATATCTCGAAGAACTGATGAGGGTAACCGATTGATAGTATAAATAGCAGTCAAGGCTGCCTCACCCCAGAAACGATCAGGACACTTAGCAGAAAGAAGAAGAGCACGAACAGTATCAAGAATGTGACGATGCTTACGTTCAGCTCGTCCATTTTGTTGAGAAGTATAAGGACAAGAACGCTGAACTACTGTGCCCTGATCAGAAAGAAAGTTTAAAAAGGTAGAATCCTTGTACTCAAGGGCATTGTCAGTACGCAAGACCTTTATAGGGCAAGAAAATTGTGTGTGAATCATTCTAGCAAATTGAATATATATGGTGGGCAACTCAGAACGATTTTTGAGAAAATAGATCCAGGTAAAACGAGAAAAATCATCAACAAAAATAACAAAGTACCGAAAACCATTCATAGAAGCAACCGGAGAAGGACCCCAAATATCAGAATGTACCAAACCAAAAGGTTTATCAGCAGTTGACAAATTCTCAGAAAAAGAAAGAGCCGAGTGTTTCCCAAGCTTACAATGAAGACAACTAAAAGACTCAAAATGACCTGGACCTAAAAGACCTTTATGATATAATGAACGAACTTTATTTGAAGACGCATGCCCAAGACGAAGATGCCACTGAAAACTGGACTGATTATCGATGACAGGAGCAGAAAATGAGGAAGAACGAGGGATATGAAGAGACTCAAGCTCAAATAACCGGCCCATCTTGCGACCCGTCCCGAGAAGCCGACCCGTCTGTGTATCCTGAACCTGAACACCAGAAGATGAAAATAGAACATTAAGACCTTGTTCAACCAATTGACCAACAGAAATAAGATTCAAGGCCAAATCAGGAATGCAGTATGTGTCAGGAAGATGTAAAGAAGGGGAAGAAACCAGACCAGTGTGAGTAATATTCATACGGGTACCATTTGCAGTATGTATAGGGGGTAAAGAAGTGACAGAAGACGAGGAAGACAAAAATTGTGGACTAGAGGTCATGTGATTGCAACATCCAGAATCAAAGTACCAATGAGGGTTACCTGCGGTAGCAGACATAGCAGAATTGGAATGGATAACCTGTTTGAGAATAGCTTCTATGTCTTGAAGAGAATATGACGAGTGCTGAGGCTCATTAGTGACAGCTGCTGTAACTGAAGAAGAAGGGGTCGATGAAGAAGACCCACGAGACCCTCGAGATCGAGAAAATGAACCTCCCGAACGTTGTGACTTCGCTGGACAATTTGGAGCAATATGCCCCAGAGCATGACAGATATGGCACTCCACCTTAGAACAAGTGGAAAAATGGTGACTAGAACTCCTGCAAAGCCGACAATAAACACGGGCTGGTGACTGAGGCTGATGCGACGGAGCGGAAGCGGAAGTAGGCACAGCTAATGCAGACTCAAGTTGTGGTGTCCTAGCCAACTGAAGACGAGTCTCCTCAAAAGTGATCTCTTGAATAGCAGCATCAAGAGTAGGCAGTGGATGACGGTGTAAGAGAGAAGCACGAACAGCCTCATACTCAGGACGTAGAGCCATCAAAATCTGAATAAGATCAAGGTGATCCGGACTAATCTCAGCCTGTCGGAGACGATACCGGATAGGCTGAACTTGTGCAAGAAACTCATTGACAGATTGACCCGGTTGCTGCTTGGCGGAATGCAAGGTGCTCCAAAGCTGATAATAGTGAGCCAAGCCTGTAGTCTGAAATCGAGCAGCCAAAAAATTCCAAGCCTCCTTTGCACTGTCAAACGGGGCAAGCTGCACCTGAATAGTAGGGACTGAAGTATTACGTAACCAAGTAAGAATCTGATGGTTCTTACTATCCCAATCCTCCAACTTATCGACGTAAGCTGTAAGAACCTGTGGTGTGGGGTTGGGATCCCCAGAAAGAGACGGATGTACAGGTGGCAACACATCACCAGTCACAATCCGCCACAATTTTCTCCCAATTAAAAAACTCTTCATAGACTGTGCCCAAAGACTATAATTGTCTCCTGATAAGACAACACTAATAGGGGAATGCAAATCCATACGATCCATCTCCAAAAAGCAGATCAACACAATAATACGAAACAGATGAAAAAATAGGCAGAAATCGGATCACGAAACCGTCAAAATAGCACAAAATAGATGAAATTAAAAAGTTCACGAAAACCAAAACCGACCACACCAGGACGTAGCCGACGAAGAGGGGAGTCTACGGCTGAAAATCGCGGCGATCGGAGCTGGGGGTGGGCCCCACGCGCCGGCTGAAGCTGCCGGCGCTGTCGCAGAAATCGGGCGCGTGTGGGCCCCACGCGCCGCCAAACGGGCCGAAATTTGGAGCGTTTGGTCGCCGGAGGATGCCGGTGATGATGGTATGGGAGGTGAGAATTGACGACGGCCGGAGAAGAGCGAAAAATACTAACCCTATATTGGACTCTAAACCTAATCTGATACCATGTGAGAATGTGGGAAAAATATATGTTGTATTATTCACAAAGAGAAGTACACATATATATAGATACAAATATGGGCCTTAGCCTAATCCTAATCTATAGTACAATCTCAATATTTACATATTTAACAATATCTAACACAATCTCAAAAACACACATTGGATTTTGCATAAATTCGTAATTTTATACACAAAAGATTGTGCCAATTATATATTATATCTAGCACAATCTCAAAAACCACACATTGGATTTTGCATAAAACCGTAATTTTATTGCTAACTTTGCAGTTTTGATATTGGTAATAAAGAAATAAAACCGTCAAACCGTAATTTTATTGCTAACTTTGCAGTTTTGATATTGCTAACTTTGCATAAAACCGTAATTTTAGTTACTCTTTTGCTTTAGTTATTGGTTAACGATTTTAATTGTTAGTGAGAGAAAGCCAGAGGACGAGAACATGAGAGAAAGAAAACTCGTATGGGAAAATGAAAGAGAGAAACCGTCAAACGTCGGTTCACTTTATTAATCCACTTATACCCTACATATAGAGAAATACATATCACTTTATTAATCCACTTATACCCTACATATAGAGAAATACATTGTACATCAGTATATGGTTAATAACTTAATAAGCTCTTGTCTCGTACCTACAAAGTTTATATTTAGATAATGTCCACAAATAATAATTATTTACAATAATTGGCACAATTTTAATACTAACAGCCATGGCATTATCTACTGTGAATAATCTATAACAAACTTTGGATAAAATAAATAAAATCACCAAAACAATTAGAGATAAATGAAAACACGAAATCAAATCTGTGTAAGATATGTTGTTTATGTTTGATTTCACTTTTGTTTACATATATTTATAGGAAAATACTCACATGTCTACGGTGAGCACATGTTAATATGCCCACCGCTGATGGAATGCACACATTGGTGATGTTAATATGTTAAAAAAAATAAATCACCAATGTGTGCATGCCACCTAAGTCGATGGGCATATTAACATGTACCCACTATGGACATGTGAGCATTTCCCTATATTTATAATGTCCTTTTCAACAAATTATATGAATATAAACAAAAGAGAATGTCAAAATTCTCCCAAAAGAGTAGGCTACTAGTAAAATATATATAATCTTGAATTAAGAAGCATACTCATCAAAACAAAAATGAACAAATAAACACAAATATTTATTCACAATTCACTATTCATTAATTTAGATACTTTTAACTACTTATCATTTTCAATAAATTATTTCCTACTTTAAAATAACATCAACTTTAATCTTACATTTTAATTATGATTCAAATACAAACTTAAGATCTCAATCAATCATCCACCACATCATATTTCTTTAAAATTAACTCACTCTAATCAATAAATTCAATCAAAATTCGTTTTATTTAGGCAAAATTGCCCTTAATGTCACCATCTTTAGCTTATTCTTTAGGGTCTCGTTTACTAGAGATGATGGGATTGGACAAATTAATCACTCCAATTTGCCATATAGATTTTAGATACAAAGTGTCCCATGTTTACCAAATTGGATAAAAGTCTATGATAAATAATAAAATTACAGATTTAATTTATAAAAATAATATTAATTTAAATTAAATAAAAATATTTTACATTAAACAATATTTTTAAGTTAAATAAAATTAATCAAATTAATATTTTATTATTAAAGTTATTTTAGATTAAATAATATTATTTTAGATTAAATAAAATTATTTAAATCAATATTTTATAGATTAAATGATATTATTTTAAATTAAATAAAAGTATTTTAGATTAAATAAAATTATTTTAAATAAATAAAAGTATTTTAAATTAAATAAAGTTGTTTAAATTAATATTTTATAAATAAAATAATATTATTTTAAATTAAGTTACATTATTTTATATTAAACAATATTTTTTAATTTAAAAAATTATTTAAATTAATATTTTATTGATTAAATAATATTATTTTAAATTATGTAATATTATTTTAAACTAAATTAAATTCTTTTATATTAAAAAATATTTTTTAAATTATGCTACATTTTTTTAAATTAATATTTTATAGATTAAAATACATTTATTTTTTGATTTAAATGTAGGTCATTGAAGACCAAGGATAATTTTACTACACCATAATGGCCGGATATTTTATTACTCGTGCACTGATTTTTAAAAATTGAAGACTTTGATATAATTTACAAAAGTGAAAAAAATTGTGATTAAATTGTAATTTCGAAAAAGATCGTAATATTAAGGTAATTTTTCCTTTTATTTATATTAATAAAATTTGTTATTTTGTTCCCACAATTCACACTCATTCTCTCCTCTTATCACACCACATTTTCTTGTATATAAAATCCCTACTCACGGTCTCTCTCACACAAAATCAGGACTGATAACATTGGGCACATTTTACACACAGATTCATCAGACTCAGACAGTTCACAGACACACTCATCTTCTTCCCCATTTTTCCCCAAAACCAAAAATAATTCCCCAACCAGATGCCTCGCCTCTAGCCCTACCGCCATTGCTCCCCTTCACCTCCGCCGATGACTCTCACCCTCACCCTCTTCCTCCTCCTCCTCCTCCACCGCCATGCCTCCGCCTCCCGCGAAGAGGTCCGATCACTCCTCGAGTTCAGAAAAGGCATCGAATCCGACCCTTCCGACCTTGTTTTCTCTTCCTGGGTGCCCCCGCCGACGCTTCCGCCTGCCCCGACGGTTTCTACGGCGTCGTCTGCGACGCCGGCGCCTCCGCAGTGGTCGCCGTCGCCCTCGACGGCCTCGGCCTCACCGGTGAACTGAAGTTCAGCAACCTCATCCCGCTCAAGTTCCTGCAGAACCTGACCTTCGCCGGGAACTGGCTTGCCGGACGCCTCATCCCGACTCTCGGGGTAATGTCGTCACTCCAGGTGATTGATCTCTCTGGTAATCAGTTCTATGGTCCGATTCCGTCGAGGTTGAATGACCTTTGGGCGCTGCATTATCTCAACCTGTCAAATAATAATTTCTCTGGGTGGATTCCTACTGGAATTCGAAACCTCCAGCTATTGAAAGTGTTGGATTTGCACTCGAACCAGCTGCAGGGGGGTGTGGAGGAACTGATTCCGGAGCTGAGGAATCTGGAGTATGTGGATTTGAGCAGGAATAAGTTAGTCGGATCGTTGGAACTCAGTGTTGAGAGTGTTTCTAGTTTGGCTAACACTGTGAAGTATTTAAACTTGAGCGGGAACGATTTTGGGGGTCGGCTATGGGGGGATGACGCCATGAGATTATTCCAGAACTTGCAGGTATTGGATTTGGGTAATAATGAGATTGTTGGTGAGCTGCCGGAGTTTGGGCAGCTGCCGAATCTTTATAGGCTGAGGCTGGGGAATAATCAGCTTTCTGGGTCTATACCTGGGGAGTTACTGCAGGGAGTTGTCCCATTGGTTGAGTTGGATCTCAGTGTTAATAAATTTTCTGGTGAGTTGTTGCCCTTCATTTTACATTGTCTTTATTGTTTTGCATCAACTTTCCTTGTCACTGACTGTTTTGTAGTGTTTTCTTTTAATGTAGATTGATTCTGAGCTGTGGTTCGTGAATATCTGTGCGTTATATTCGGAAAGCATTGACAAAATCTAGATCTTTCGTTAGTTTAGGTAGACACGTGTCGATGATTATTTTACGCGATATTTATGTGCCATCGTATGCACTTTGACTTGATTTGCATGGTATTCTTTCTCAACCTATTGTGGGTATCTTATAATGGTATTGTTACGATGCTAACAAATGATTTACCCCCTCACCGTTGTTTCCTATTCACCAAAACAATGCAATTGGATTTCCTTATTTATAGGATATTTTCCTATGAGAGAATGTTGAAAACAAATGTTGTGATAGGAGAATAAATGAGTGATTGGCTATGAGAAGAAATTGTAATGGTGGAAGTTGATTTAATTGGAATAATAAAATAACGATTTGGTGTATAGTCAATATGGATGTGGATAAATAGTGGGTTATGTAGGAAAAACGTGAGTAAATAGTATGTTTTCTCAAAATTTCGTAAGCAAGCAGTTCGGAATGAAAATTATTTTTGAAACAAAACTGATGTTTCTAGTAAGAAAAAGCGACCTACGCTCCTCCGGTTGTTATGGCCTTGTGTGATAATGCACATGTAGTTAAGACTCAAAGCAGAGATCAAATTTGCTATGCTTGCAATTTTCTTTACTTGAAACATAACCCCAAGATGGATTTCAGCAATAAATAGCAGCAATGAATTTTATGCAATTATGCATGTACTTTTCAACAAAGCCTAGACCTCTCTGCAGTCTCTTATAATGATTATTGGGTCAATTGTGCTGCAACTGATTGGTCTAAGTTTTCAGGTCCCATCCCGGATATCAACTCAACAACTTTGGTTACTCTCAACCTCTCATCAAACTCAATCTCCGGTTCCTTGCCACCATCATTAGGAAATTGTCTGTTTATTGATCTTAGCGGAAATCTTTTATCAGATGACATGTCTGTTATGAAAAATTGGAACCACAATCTGGAAGCTTTAGACTTGAGCTCCAATGGCTTGAGGGGAAGCATCCCCAGTTTGACTCATTTCGAAAAATTGACTTTGCTCAGTATTCGAAACAATTCCTTAGAGGGGCCGTTGCCTTTAACATTGGGCCGCAAACTCGTCACTGTTGATCTGAGCTCTAACAGATTTGATGGCCCAATCCCACATAGCTTCTTAACTTCGGTCACCATCACAAATCTGAACTTGTCTGACAATCATTTGACTGGGCCAATTCCTATCCAGGACTCTCATACGACTGAGCTATTGCTTCTTCCTACTATTCCACCTATGGAGTCTCTCGACCTTTCGAATAATGCCTTAACTGGCGAATTACCATCGAATATCGATAACTGGGGGAGGCTTAAGTTGCTTAATCTTTCAAGTAATAATCTGTCTGGACAGATCCCAAGTGAATTAAGCAAACTTACTGTTCTGGAATACCTCGATTTGTCCCATAACAATTTCAACGGTCACATTCCAAGTAAATTGCCATCAAGTCTCAAGTTCTTCAACGTGGCTTACAATAATCTATCCGGTAAAATCCCCGAAAACTTGGTTGGCTTTCCCGATTCTTCTTTTTCGCCTGGAAATGATGGTCTCGAGCATCGTCATAATTCCTCGCCAGATAATAATAATGTCCCAGACAATCTAAACAAGAGAAATCGCCACCGGTCTAAAACTACCATCACAATAGCTATAATAGCTGCGTGTACTGGAGCTGCTGTGATGATTGCTGTAATTCTTTTCGCCTACCGGCAGGCCCGACCTCACGATTTTCACGGTTTTCGTCGGCCCTCAGATAGTCAAGAAGTCAAATCGGGAAGACTTGACTGTCCTTCGCCTACCAATTTCCGCACAAGTGGTGTGGGACCTCCCCCAAACTCGTTGACTCCCAGTCAAACTGCCACCTGTCAACCGGTTACTAGTCACCCGACAACTTCCGGAAGGAAATCATCTTCTCCAGACTCTCCAATGGCATCATCCCCTCGATTTATAGACACGATCGAACAATCTGTGACATTGCATGTGTATTCTCCCGATCGATTCGCTGGGGATTTGTTTTTCCTGGATAATTCACTTATATTTACGGCTGAGGAGTTGTCGCGGGCCCCAGCAGAGGTTCTGGGTAGAAGCAGCCATGGGACTCTGTACAAAGCCACCCTTGATAACGGGCATATGCTGACTGTCAAGTGGTTGAGAGTCGGGTTAGTGAAGAAAAAGAAAGGCTTTGCAAAAGAGGTGAAGAAGATTGGGTCTATAAGGCATAAGAATATAGTTCCTTTACGGGCGTATTATTGGGGGCCACGAGAACAAGAGAGGCTTATCTTGGCGGACTATGTGTTGGGTGACAGCTTGGCCTTGCATCTATACGGTAAGTTCACTCCTAAACATTGCTTATATGGCCATGCGTATTTCAGAAGATCAAATATGAAGTACATTATTGCGCATATCCGTCGACATGTTTCTATTTTCACAAAATTACACCCTATTGATGGTGAATTTGCAAATTTGAGGAGAAAACTGAATCTTGTGATAGTCTATGGGTAACATTGTAATTATTCCTAGATATTTTATTGTTACATGGGGGATATGTTCATAATTCAGGTTAGTCATGCAATGTATTCTTGGTATACTCTTTTTCATCCGAGCTTTTTTTGGTAAACCAACGATCCACTTTTCCATAACATTAGTTTTTATAATATTAAATCCATTTCTCTCTGCTGAATGTTCAACAATGTACCCTTTTTTCTCGGTTTCTTTCTGAATTTAGAGTTGACACCTCGGAGGAACTCCCCATTATCGTTCAACCAAAAGTTGACTTTGGCCATCGACATTGCTCTTTGCCTTCTGTTCCTTCACGACAGAGGCCTTCCTCATGGGAACCTAAAGCCCACAAACATAATCTTGTGTGGCCCAAATTACGCCGTCCAGCTCACAGACTACGGGCTTCACCGCCTGATGACTCCTGCAGGCATTGCCGAGCAAATCTTGAATCTTGGGGCCCTCGGTTATCGGGCCCCCGAGCTAGCCAGTGCAGCCCGGCCCATACCGTCGTTCAAGGCCGATGTGTACGCGTTTGGCGTGATCCTAATGGAGCTGCTGACAAGAAAAAGTGCGGGTGACATCATCTCTGGCCAATCAGGAGCCGTTGATTTGACAGATTGGGTGAGATTGTGCAATCAGGAGGGACGAGGATTGGATTGCATAGACAGGGATATTGCGGGTGGGGAAGAAGAACATACGAAAGCCATGGATGACTTGCTCGAGGTTTCTTTAAGGTGCGTTTTGCCGGTAAATGAGCGGCCTAACATTAGGCAGATTCTGGACGAGTTGTGTTTGATATCGTCTGTGTGAATGAAACTTGTATATGTTGTTGTTTTCCCTTCGGGGAAAATCCAATTCTTTAATGTGACTTGGTTGGTTCATCGGATTTTTTTTAATTTTTATTTTTGGGGATTTTTGTTGGGTATTGGTGTTGTTGCCTTCTAATTTGGGGCTGTAACTACAGATATGTTTAGTTCCTTACCCCCTTCAATTTTTGTGTAAAGGGATGCTTAGTTCATTGATTAATTGATATGAGTCCCAATTATTATTCGTCCACATTTTTTTTTAATGTTTGTTTTTCACCTCATAATTGCATGCAATCTTATTTTATTTTTATGGACTTTGGGACCAATTGGTTGGGTGGTGGGGTGGGCGAGCTTGCTCATTTTCAGATATCTCTAGTTTCGAGATTTGTCGTATATATAATAGTACTACTTTTTAATTAGATACGTTGAAAAATGAATTCAAAATATTTTTAATTTTTTTGTTAAAAAAAATTGTATACATAATTGCATATAAACTATGTGGTAAATATTTATGATAACAAACATAACATTAAGACTTTAAAATTAAAAAATTATATGTAAAACAAATCTTTTAAATTAAATTTCATTTGTTAAATAAAAATTATTCGTATATCTTTAATATTTACTGGCAAATTTTTTATGGGGGATATTAACAATATCTAGACCTAGATGTATAAAATTTAAGTTCCAAGTTCCACCAAACATATTAATTAACTGAAACTTTCTCCCCAATAAACTACATAACCTGTTTTATTCTCTCCTAAACCTTTTCGAAAAAAGGAAACAAAATCCTAAAGCTGCCTGTTAAAAGAAACCCTATCGAGCTCGCTCTCGCGAATGCCGGAGATTGGAAGCCGTCGAGTTTTATCTCGGCGAGGGTCAGATCGTGTCGGTTTTGGCGCGGAATGTGCGTTCGATTAGTTACGGTGGGGATGCGGGTAGCGTGCAAGGTAGTTTAATGGCTTCGGATTATTTTTTTGAGGGAGTCGAGGAATTGAGATTGCACGACTCGGATATAACGGACGAGTTCTTCCGGTGGTTCCGGAGTTTGGGGGGTGGCTCGAGAAGGTGGTGATCGAGAGGTGCGGTTTCTTGGAAAGCGTTCGGATTTTGGGTTGTCGGATTATGGAGGTGTCGATATCCGAATGCGTGATGCTTAAGCGAGTCGAACTCGATGCTCGTTTTTCAGGACGGCTTAGGGTTGATTCGGGGTGTGATGTACATTTTATGAAGATTATTATTATTATTATTATTATTATTATTATTATTATTATTATTATTATTGTTGTTGTTGTTGTTAAGTTACCTACGTATGGTAAAGGGCAAAATTTCAAAATTGGTCCTATAATTTGACCACTGTCCAAAAAATTACCCCGATATTGACTACTTTCAATTTAGGTCTTATAATTTATCGATTTCATTAATTTTGGTTCTTTTTTATCCGGACCCAGAATAAAAACGTAATGTGGCGTTTTTAAAACTGATATGGCATGATTGTGTATTACGTGGCAGGATTATGAAAATTCCTTCAAAGTTAAATGATCCACGGCAGTTCAAGACCCTAGTTGCAATTAAGTGAACCTTTTGAATTTGTAAAAAAATCCATAAAACTTATTGAATTTTTAAAATGAGCCCCTGCAACTTGTCTTCACCCATTCACGTCCGCCGACCGCCTCTGCCGTTCGCCGGCCGCCGGCCAACCACCTCATATCTGAATTTTCTTTATATCATCTTGAAGCTCTTCATCCGCGTTCCATCTCCTAAAATTTCAGACAAAAATTCCATCGATAAAACCATCAATTACTCTAGTCAAAGTTTTTAGATCTTGAAAATTTTGGTCAAAATCAGGCTTCTTCTTCAATTTTCCGGCAATTCACGGCGACCCACCGAAATTCGAGGACACCTCTGGACTCCTTAGGCCGCTGCAAACCCGATGATGTCCATCATCTGCAGAACCAACTAATTTTTCGGGGCCCCGTTTTTTTCTGGCAACCCGTTTTTTCCACGGTGGCGAAGGCGAGGGGCAGTGGAGGCGTTGCTGCTGGTTGAAGGGTGAACTTGCGGCTGCTGGACGGACTCTAACACAAGCAATGGTGTCAGAACTCTGATCTGTTGGTTTTTGTTCGGCTTCTGGTTGAATGGTGTCGTGAGTGCTGGTAAAATTCTTTTTTTTTGGTTGAATGGTGTCGTGAGTGCTGGTAAAATTCTTTTTTTTTTTAGTTCTAATTTTTTTGTCTCCACGTGTCTGTTTAAGTTCTATTTTTTTGGTTTTATTTTTATAGTTTTTTTTTCCCTATTTCCACATGGCATAATTGAAATATCAAATTCAAATAAAACTGCCATGTCAGATAAAAAATCGCCACGTCATGCCACGTTATATTTTTATCCAGGGTCCGGATAAAAAAAGACTAAAATTGATGAAATCGACAAATTACAGGACCTAAATTGAAGTGGTCAATATCGGGATGATTTTTTGGACAGTGGTCAAATTATAGGACCAATGTTGAAATTTTGCCTATGATAAAGTTTCCTAGGATTCATATTTGTCTTGTCTTAGATACATAAAAATGTGCAATCCTATCTATAATTTCTCTGCAGTTGATGATATTTGAATGCCACTTAAATGAATATAATATACCTATAGTTAAAACTTTGAATTTTCTCTGCAATGCTGGAAAACATATAAGAACTCTCTAAATAATGTCATCCTTTTGTTACTTATACAGCTTTATATACAGAATATCTTAAAGGGAAAATTTCATTAGAAGGCGTGATTTTTGTCATTGTGTCACATTAGAACCTGAATTTTCCACTTTCTCATTGTTACTTATACAACTGATTTTTTCTCATCGAGGTAATTTTTTATATTTTTTTTTTTTTTTTTTTGTTCAATAGATTCTTTTTTTCCTTTTTTCTTATTGTTGGAGCTAAACACGGTTGGATTGAATATGACCATCATTGGAATTTCCTCTTCAACTGTATGTGGAAAAGTACTGCATTTTCTTATCTCTTATTAGGGGTGTTTACAGTCTGGATTGGTCCGGTTTTAGCTAAAATTATGACCAAATTGGACCTAACGGTTAATTTTTTTGCTTAATAACCGGACCGGTTTTATTCTTTAACTGACCACAATCCGGACCGTATTGGACGGTCCGATTTGGCGGTTAACCAGTTAAATCTAAAATTCTTGTTTTGGGCCTTCAATTTTTATTTTTTTCATTTTGGACTTAATTTTTATTTTTCAATTTTGGGTCCAAAAGAGATTATTTGCGCCTAAAAATTAAGAAAAACAACAATAATGAAATAAAAAAATACACAATTCGTCCCATAAGCATAAAAATACACATTTCGTCTAATAAACATAAAAATGCAAAAAATGATGAACATTAAATTATGCAAACTGAACAGATGCAAGAATTCATTTTTCAGTCAGTTTATATACCTGAAATAATAAGAGCAAAACATTCATAGTGAATATATTGTATTTGTCGGCCATAGTGAATGACTTAATGTATATATATATTTGTTATAGTTTTTTAATATTTCCCGGTCCGGTTAAACCGGCGGTTTTTCGCAGATAATCCGTTAACCGGATCAGTTATTCCGAATTTTTAAGAAAATTAACCACCGAATTTTTTAAGGCCTTTTTCACTGACCATTTAACTGATTCGCGGTCCGAATTGACGGTTTTTTCGGTTAAAACCGGACCGTGAACACCCCTATCTCTTATGTTTTCAAATTTTTAGTAGACACGTGTCTAAATTCTCATCACTGCTTGAATCTTGATTGTTAGCAACAACTTTAATTTGGCTAGGTCTTATCTTTTTGTGTCCTATATAAGGCTGTACTAGGTAGCTCAGAGATATATTATCATTCATCATCAATTCATCATACAGTCACGGTTAACAAACGGGGATAACAATTGAAGTAAACAAGGCCATGGACACGGATAATGATCCTTCCATCCTATCCCATCCACTAAAACAAACGAGGCCTTAGACTATGGACACGGAGCTACGCACTCCATTCGCAGGATTCGTTGGTTCTTGTCAGGTACCTTATGATTTTTCTTTCTTTTTTTTTTTCTGTGTTTGAAATTTTTGTAAATTGTATTTATGATTAATATGTATAAATCTCAACATGTTATGACTTATGATTAATGTATATAAATAAAAACTCGAACGGCCAAAATTATATATAATTTTTTAGACCAAAATGTTAGGAGAAAAAATAATGCACAAAAAAATAAATAAATAAGTTGATTTAACCTGCAATCTAATATAAATAAAAAAAAAAAAAAACAAAAGGAAAATGGTTTTCTTGTAGTTAAAAAATTTATCGCGTTAAATGCACTCACCAGCAGTGTCCAATCTGACGTTTTCGACAATTAAAGCTTCCAAGTCCAAGCCATCAGCAATGTCAGTATGTGATTACGTCATCAATCTCATGTCAATAGTCAATGTCCACAGTGTACTACAACTTACGTGAGCAAAACGACGTGTTACAATTTGTGAATTGTGATTTGTGAACCAATTAACTAAAGTTTGGTGTTCAAGATTTTCTCTATTAACCGTGATTAGGCACATAATAATTATCTTTAGAACAATCTGAAAGGACTTATATATATGTCCAAATTAATGCGCATGATAGGAAAGTAATTTTATAATTTTATAAATAGTCCTCTAATTTTTTTTGTGTGTGGCAAAAATATAGTCGATTTTTAATCCAAGTAATTAATAACGGTTCTGTATTTCTACAACTAACAAATTTGAGGATAATTTTAGCAAAAAAATTCAAAATTTGGCCATCTTTTTAATTAATCATTCTGAATCAATTTTCGGCTGGAGATTCCGATTATAAAATTGACACGTCGTGCGAACGCGTTTCATTGAATTTGTGGTTGGAATTTAGATTATCGGCCAAAGTTTTCCTCAGATTCGTTAGTTGGCCACTTCTGAAATTTGGGAGCCCTAATTGGGACTTCTAGCCAATATTACTTTCAAAGTATTCAGTTTTAAACATTACAAATTTCTGATCAAAACGCGGTTTTGAATAAAAAGAAGTTTGAATTCTATTTATTCTAAAATAAGCAAGACGAGATATGGCACAGTTCAGCGCGGAGGTCATCAATGGGTTATACATACAAATATAATTAGAACTATTTAGAATTATTTAGGTGTGATTGGATGTAAACTAGACTAATTACAAAATTTATTAAAACTCAAATTTAACTCAATTTTAATTTAACCTCACTATTCTCAATATTATCAATATAAGTAAATAATATCAATCAATCATTCTTACACACCACCAATGTTCTAAAAGTCGCTAGGCGCTCAACCAGCGCCTAGCGCCTATCCTAGTCGGAGCCCAGAAATCAATATTAAATATCTTATTTTTATTTATTTTAACTACCTACAAAATAAAACTATCTCAACTTATAATAGATTCACACACCAAAGTCCAAATAATAATATTAATATATATTAAAGAAAACATGAGAACAAAATAATGTAATTAGTATTTTAAAAAAAAAAAAAAACTGAAAAATTGCCGCCAAGTCCGCCTAGGTCCGCTTACGCCTGCCTAGACGCCGCCTAACCGCCTGGCCACCGAGCACGCCAAGTCCGCCTAGGAGCGCCTAGGACCGTCTAGGCGCCGCCTAGCTGCCTGGCCGTTTTTTTATGCCGATTTGTACAAATCGGAGGCGCCCGGGCACCGCCTAGTGCCTAGGCGCCTCCTCGGCTGATTTTTAGAACAGTGCACACCACATCAACTTTAATTCACTATTTATCCATTCACATAATTTTAACTAACCATCATTTTCAATCATTTTTCTTGTAATTTACATCAAATCAACTTTAATTATTTTAATTTAAATTTAAATTCCCAATAACAATTAATCATATCTCCTTTTTCAAAATTAACTATAGTTAACAAAAAAATCAATCAAAACCCATACCTCCTTTTTTCCAAAATTAATTATGAGCAATTGTTTAAATAAAATGCATAATTACAGAGATTTGAACGACTCTGAGACATATAACAAGCAAGGGCCGGTCAAATTTCATTTATTAATTAAAAAGTTTATTATTTCTCTTCGCGTGCGTGTCAAGATTCTCTGTTCCTTATTTTCTTTGCCAAGATTTGTTATAAATGTGCCTATATAAATGCATGTTCTTAGCCTTCTCTTAAAGCATACAAATATACAATACTCATATTAGTTCTCTCAAAGTTCTCACTATATAGTGATTGATTAAAAAAAAAAAAAATCTTCATATACAATGTAAGTTTTCCAAAATTCTCCTCTACCCTCCACCATTACCCATAAATTTAATTCACAAATTCAATTTCATGTTGAATCTAAGTATTTATTCTTAAATTTAATTCATTTTCATCGATTTTTCGTCCTTCTACCAGCTCAGTAGTCGATGGCGTGCAATGCCGTTTTGTGTCTCCTCCTTTTGGTGTCGTTTTCTTCTTTGTCTCCGAGGCCGTGCACCGGAAAAAGTTACGAAGTCACCGGAAAAAATGGTGTAGTGGCAGCCGATGAAATTTTGTGCTCGGAAATCGGAGTCGATGTGCTGAAAAAGGGCGGCCATGCGGTGGATGCCGCGGTGGCTGCCGCCCTGTGCCTAGGGGTGGTCAGCCCGGCGTCTAGCGGCCTTGGCGGTGGTGCGTTTTTGCTCGTCCGGTCGGCCAATGGCTCGGCAAAAGCCTATGATATGAGAGAAATGGCTCCAAGTGGTGCTAATAAGGTGATTTTTCATGCACTTTGTCAATAATGTAAACATTGGAAAAAAAAATACTCCCTTCCATTTTTATTATTTGTCGTTTTGAGAAACAACACGCTAACTAAGAATTTTTTTTCTTGCCAGTATTAACCCTATTTAATGGATGTATGGAAAACAATGGAAATGGGATATAAAGAGACACTGTGTATTAGATGAATGGTTAAAAATGAAAAAAATATGAATAAAATAGCCAAAACGATATTTATTTAATCAATGATCAATTAAGGCAGAGTGAAAAATAATAAAAATCTATTACTATATAATACGGAGAAGAAAAATTATTTGAACAATCCGAAGAAAATCATTTCGTTTTCCCGCTTCAATATAGTGTTTTTCCCGCTTCTTCAATTCGTAAATTTTTTTTTTTGAATTTTTTCAGCCCATGCAATTAGGTAACCAATCAAATCGAATCTATTCAATTTGGTAAGGTGTTCCGATTTTAACATTCAAATCCGATTTCACTTCCTTTTTTTATGCCAATCAATCCGATTTTTTTGGTTGTTTCAAAATTTGTTTAGATTTATATTTTTATTTTATTAATATATTTGAAATAGAATCAATAAATGTTTATCATAACTTTTATTTTAAAAATAAATTTGAATAAGCATACTTTTTACTTTATATGAAATTCAAAATTACATATTTTAATATATTAATAAACGTTTATTATTTATTTTTTTCCTTATGTGATATAATAGAATTTCGGTATTAAATTTGTAAATTTAAACATTTAAAGGAAAAGATTCCAAACAATTTTTTTTGGGTAAATTTCTTTTTATCTTGGTTTTCATTATCACATTTCTAACAAACTAATTAGTATTATATTTTTTTATCTACATTATCTAACCGATTTTTTATGATACAATTAAATAATATCTTAACAAATTAATCATTTGTCTAACTGAATTTATCTCTCTAACAAACTTGCCAATTTTTTCAAAATTAAAATGGTATGATTATTCTTATGGAGATACTTATCAATATATTAAATATTTAGAAACTTTTTTTAAAAAATGAGTTATCCCTCCTTTTACTTTATTTGAAATTCCGACGTATATATTTATATATATTATTATTTATTTTTTTACATGTAAATATTTATTTATTATCTAAGTGATAAATATTATTGATTTATCTCCTTAATAAATATTTATTATTTATTTTTTTCCTTACGTGATATAATGTAAATTTGGTTACTAGATTTTTAAATTAAAAAATTTAAAGGAAAAGACTATGAACAAATTTTTTGGTTACATTTCATTTTATTTTAACTTCCATATAATCACAATCCTCAAACTAATTAGTATAATATTTTTTTACCCATTTTTATATAATCGGATTTCTTAAAATATAATTAATATAACATTTTAACTATTTAATCATTGGTATAACTTGACTTAACTCATTATCAAACTTGCCAATTTTTTTTTTTGAAATTAAAAAAACTTTGGAAGATTTTTATTTGTAAAATAATAAAAAATAGCTTTACTTTAAATTCTGGATTATTTCCATTATTTTTTGTACGTTAACAATCATATATTTTGGATTATTGATTTTTAAAAAAAAAAATCAAAACCGTAAGGTTTAATAATATTCCTTAAATAAAAAATATTGTATAAAGAAAAGTATTTAATAATATATATTTTTTATTGATTGTATTTATTTTATTTTCATAATAGACGAGATGTTAAAAATATAAATAATTATATTTAAAATAAAGTATAAAAAATGTTTAAAATATGAACTCTTCCGTGCATCGCACGGGATATACACTAGTAGGAGGGAATATCATGTTTAACTTGTTAGTTTCTTAATTATTTTTACGGTCTTAGCTTAGGATGTTTTAGACCTTTTTTCTAGGTATTTTTTGGGTTCATTTTTGAGGTTCCACAATTTTGAGGTATTTTTAAATTGTTTTCTTATAAGAAATTTTATTTTTTTTGTACACAAAATTTTACTTGTTGAGGATAAATTGCAATTGTGTTTCTATTAGATTATGAAGGCGACAATTTAGTTCCATTAGAGTGACATATATAGCAACTTAAGTTATGTAATTTAAATTTTTTTGTTGCAATTAATAGTCAAATGACTGAAACTAAAATACGTGTTTGGTCAAAATAAAAATCGAAAACCAAATCCATAGTTCGATTTGGTTTCAAACGGAAAATCTCTCCCTTGTATTTTATTCCATTACCAGACAGCCAAACAATAGGAAATGGAGTCATGCTCGGTTAACCATATTTTGTACATCCCTTAAACTAATCGAGTCATGCTCGAGTAAAGCTTCACTACATTATGAACCTTCGGTTGAACAAAGTTCGGGCCAGCAATGCCGAGTCGAGTATCAAGTAGTTTGTTTTTTCATAACGAATCACGATAACTCAGTGCATTCATATATTACGCAAAAATGGATGCAGACCATGTATAAAGGAAATGCCACCCTAAAGGCCAAGGGCCCGCTTTCCATTGCGGTCCCGGGCGAGCTCGCGGGCCTCAATCTCGCCTGGCGAGATTACGGTAAACTCCCTTGGAATAGTCTTGTCCAGCCCGCCATTCGCCTTGCGAGCCGCGGGTTCAAGATCTCTCCTTATCTCTACATGCAAATGAACAAAACAAAATCGGACATCATGGCCGACGAGGGTCTCAAGAGCATATTCACGAGAAACGGGAGTTTGTTGGGACTTGGCGAAACTTGCCGCAACTTGAAGCTTGCCGAGACATTGAAGGAAATATCCGAAAACGTGGAGTCGTTTTATAACGGCTCCCTCGGACAAAAGTTGGCCGATGACGTGCGTAAAGCCAACGGGATATTGACTCGAGAAGATTTGCGCGGTTATAAGGTAGAAGTTAGGAATCCCGTTGAGGTCGACGTGATGGGAGTTAAAGTATTGAGCATGGGCCCGCCTTCGACCGGAGGTCCTTCTCTAGCGCTCGTAAGTATATTTATATATTGTATAATTAATCAAGAAATGTTCTTGCTTTGCTAGCAATATATATATGTTTTGTTGGGTTGGCTACACTCACTTCTGATACCATTGTTGAGTTGGGTACACTCACACAACACGTGGATACTAACATAATTACTTTATTTATATCAAAGTAATTACACAAATACAATATGGACCAGGATATAATATTTCTCATGTATATGTGACGCGCGTGTCTTTCATCATCAGATGCTAAACATTCTTGAAGGGTATACGAATTTTTCGGATATTGGTCTTTTTAGCCACCGAGAAATCGAGGCTCTGAAACACGCGTTTGCCGTGCGGATGAATCTCGGTGATCCGGCTTTCGTCGATGTTACGTCCGTGCTAAGAGACATGTTGTCGAAAGACTTTGCTCAGGAGCTAAGAAAAACTATTGACGATAGCAAGACATTCGATTTTAGCCATTACGGTGGGAGGTAATGACTTAATGCTAATTAAAGCTCTGGCTCGTGTATCGAAAAATTATATATGTTTTGTTAATAAACAGGTGGAATCAGATTCATGATCACGGCACGAGTCACATTTCCATTGTTGACCAAGAACGTAATGCGGTCTCGATGACCACCTCAATCAATGCATATTTTGGCTCGACTTTTCTCTCTACAAGCACAGGCATTGTTCTCAACAACGAAATGGACGACTTTTCGATGCCTCAGCCGAACGACACTAAAAATCCGGAAGTTTTTCCACCCGCGCCGACCAACTTTGTCGAGGCTGGGAAAAGGCCACTTTCGTCAATGACACCGACAATTATTGTCAATAAAGTGTGACAAATTTTTCGAAGTTTCTCAATTTACGTTTTTTTTTTCTTATCTTTTTTTTTTATTACGAATTTTTACTTCCGAAAAGTAATTCGTTCGTTCGCTTTTAGGATGGAACAGTAAGAGGCGTTGTAGGTGGTAGAGGAGGGAGCAATATAATTGCAGCAGTAGCAGAGGTTTTATTGAACTATTTGAAAAGACAAATGGACCCTCTTTCTTGTGTTGTCGCTCCTCGACTTTTTCATCAGGTACGAAAAATCAAAATGCAAAAACAGATAATGAGTTGGATTTTTCATTTTTTCGATTTTGACATTATTTTCGTGTCGTGAACGTATTATTAATGCAGCTGATTCCGAACGTGGTATTGTACGAGAACTGGACAGTGCCAACAGGTGGTCATTTTGAGGTCCCAAAGGAAATAAGGAATGCTCTAACTAAAAGGAACCACACTCTTCAAAGCTCCTCAACTGCCACAATGTGCGAATTTGTTGTTCACGAATTTATAAATGGATCGAGTGAGCTCATTGCTGTAAGCGACCCGAGAAAGGGTAGTTTTCCGGCTGGTTACTAAGTCCGGTTTTCTAATTGTACTTTGTGTGGTGTTCGACGTGTTTTTTTTGGTATTCCAATGAATGTTCCACTTTTGTAATCTTAACTCTTAAAGGAAAATTTAGACTTTGTAATAGTTGTGTGTGTAAGATCTATTTTGGAATTAAACATGTGTAATTGATTCATGGGTCATTATATTGTTTAGCCAAATTAAGTGATCAAATTATGTACATTGACTAAGGAACTTAATTTAGATTGTGGAATGATTAAATGTGGACACCCGGTAATATTATTATTTGGTGACGTAACAAATAATAATATTACACTTAAGGACCTAATTAGCAATTAATTTGGGTCAAAATTAATAATGGGTGGAGTCCCCAAAATCTATACTTATATTAAAGGGGGTACTATTTACTAAATGTAGTATGTAGAATAGTCAACCCTAATTAATGATTTGCTATTTTTATCAATCATTTAATTAATGCATCTAATATTTTTGGTATGCAAATCAAATTAGCATTTAATTAGTTCCTAAAATATTGGGTATGCAATATTAATTTAGGAATATCTATGTAGTTCCTAAAATGTAGGTATGCAATACGTAAATGAAGATTTTTTATGTTTTATTAAATATAAAATATTGCAACACTTACAACTATTTCAGTTATTTTTTTATTTTACTTTACATATAAAATTTAATCAATATTTAATGCATCCTACAAAATTGGATTTAGTTTAATTCTCCATACAATTGGTTGTAACTTTTTCAGTTGTACATTTTTTATTTATTTATTTTACACTTTTAAATTAATGAAGCTCTCCGAAAATACCAAATCAAATGATTTATGAAAGTTTTTTTTTTTTACAATTTTAAATCTATATACTCAGCTTAAAAAACTCATCGCATGGACGAGTTTAAGAAAATTTCATAACCCAGCTTATAAAATTCCATCTCGACGAGTAAAAAAAATCACATCCCTCATCTATCGTCACAACTTTAAACGTAAATAAATAAAAGTCTAATTACTACTATAAATCCATTATCTACATAGATTTTTTAAAAATGTAAATTTCACCTGTCTCATTACTAATATTTTAGATACTTTTAAATATTATTTGTATAATTTTTTTTTACACATTTGCTCTCTCTCTCTCTATATATATATACATATATGAAGGTTAAATGAAGAATTTTTAGACATATTTTCCTTACGGGTAGTTTAGAAAAATTTAGGTAGCTTCAAACATTATTTGTGAATAATATAGAATATTTTAGATGCTTCTATAGATGTTATAAAATATTTTAAGTATTTTTAAATATTTTAAGTATTTTTAATATTTATATATCACACTTAAAAAGAATATTTTGCAAAAAAAAAATATTAAATACACATTGTAAATGTTAATAGAAACAGTCTTCAGTTTTCATCTTTGATTTTGTCAAAACAAATCTTATAAAATCGGTGAAGTCAAAATTTGTACGTAAAGTCTATCTATACTAAAAAATGGTAGATTCAAAATTCTTTATCTAATTTTTTTTTTCCTTATCTAATTCATTCTTATTATCTAATTGTATAGAAATCTGTTCTGATTTTGTGTAATCCTCTAATTGTATTTGTATCATATCCGATAAAATTGGTTTAACAAAAAAAATCCCATAACATCCGATAAGTAAAAAAAAGTACGTAAAATCTTTATTAAAATAAAAAGGCTTTATTTATTATCTAATTTATTATCTGATTGTATGAAAATCTGTTCTGATTTTATATTACGTACTACAAATTGTGCACTCGTGTTCAGGAGCTACTTAACCGGCAAGTTATGTGGAAATAACTCATTTAGTGCTTCTGTCCCGTGCATACGGTATGTATTTGTATTACACATACCAGAAAATTGTGCACCCCGTGCATCGCACGGACTCTGTACTAATAAATGACCTTAAAATTGTGCACCCTGCATCACCCGTGTTCACCTTTTGGCCTATTACAGGTCACGTACTATATATACCCTATACATTTTTCTTTATTCATTTATATAATTATAAAACTTGATAAATAACCTTAATTTTGTGCACCCCGTGCATCGCACGGGACCTGTACTAGTCGTGATAAATAAAAGGGGTCTTTTGCAATTCTTCATAAAGACATAAGAAGAATAAAAACCGTAGGGTTTCCCACTCTCTCCATAAGTTTTATTCTTCATTACGTCAGAAGAGGAGGGGTTACAGTTCACGGCTTTTGGAAGAACTCCAAATCCAATCCCAAAATTCCAATTCAATTCTAGTGAGATCAATCAACATGAATCCATCAGGTACGCTTCCGTTCTTCGGTATGATTCTCGATTGTTCAATATGAATGCTTCTGGGATTAAATCGATTTATATCGAATAAAGTTAAATCCAAATTTCTATCAGTGTGTGTATCATTGTTT